ACGCGCCATTATATTTTAATTATGATACCGCGGACGGATGTTTTCATTACGAAGGCTTGCCGACTGAGCTTTTATTTAACTTCAGTCAAGGATATTAAAATTTTTTAAAAAAATTTTTTTTTTACTAAAAATTTTATTTTCAATATATAGTAACCATCATTTTTTCCTATTTTTTCTATTATTCGAGATATTTTTTTTTTTAATCGAATTTTTATATTCGCAAAACATCATTTACCGTAAGGTTATTTTGTTCGATTATTCGGTTTTCTATATTAATTATGAGTTATTTATCGATTGTGAGAGTTATCGGTCGGTCTGTATATAGTATATCCGTATATGCCTATATATAATCCCTTTATAAACTTGAACTGATGATCGTCGGGTTTATTCTGTTTTTAATTAGATTTTTTTTTTATACAACTGTACTTTTTATAAAACATAGCAAAGATGTCATTTAAGACCTCTTAAAATAAAAAATAACACTTACTTCAATAGTAATTATTACATCCAAAATAGTTTCAAGATATCAGATTGATAAAAATCTTTGTTTAATCTCATGACAAGTGAAGACGGGTTATGAATATTTACAATGTAAAGAAAAAATTGTGAAGGTCAAATGGCTCAAAATTTTCTTAGTGTTACAACCATAAATCATCTTAATTTAACTTTTTACGTTCCAAATGTTCTTTTTATTAGTCGAAATGTCAAAATTTTATGTTGACTGCGGAATATCTTTCATTTGTGAAACGTTCATCAAAAAAAAAAATGACAAAATCTCGCTAAATAATTGTAATTTACTTAATTTATTTCTTAAATTTTTTTATAATTGTTGTCAGATGAAGTTACATATATACATATACATAATGATTGGTCCTTTTTTTTTAAAAAAAAAAAAATTTAAAAAAAACGTAAAAGCTTATTGAATTCTTAATAACGACGAAAATGAAAAAAAATTTACGATTTCTCTGAAAGGCAAATAAGAGATACTACGTAACGAAATAAAAAAAAATCGATAAAAAAAAGTTTTTTTGAAAGCCGATAGGTAAATATGTAACCAACTCTATAATAACGAAAACGATTTGAACGATTTGAACGAAAATGAAAAAATTTTTTATTATTTTCTACAACATCCTGTAGTAATTGTTTCGTTCGTTTGAGAGGAACCATTTTCGTTCGTTGGTCACATTTTTAAAGTCGCTAGTGAAAATAGAAAGTAATATGATTAATATACAATTTTGAAACAAATGTATAAAGAAATTTCGTAAATTTAAATATGTACCTTTTGACCTTTTTTTACAAAAGGTTGAAAGTTTTTCGATGATTTCTTGCAAGATTTCTGACTGCTTTTATAATAAAAGGAGAGGTCTAATCTTCATGCAGTGAAAACAATATGATCATTGTTCTTATGACATTAACCCACCCCTGTTCTTCAATTTAATACAAGTAGTTCATGTGGTCATGGATATTGTCTTATCCAATCGGAAAATTTACAACATTTATCTAAGATATATATTTTTTAATTGTTTGTTTTTAAAATATTTTATTTCTGATTCATAATAATTTATGTTTGAAATAATGTATGATCATGAGTGGTTACAAGAGCACATTCTTTTTAGAAGAAAAATATATAAATTCGAAGCAAAGTTTTCGAAAAGAATATCATCCAATATGAAAAAACCTATATCCACATTTTATTGATTCAAATTTGTCTTATCGGTAGGTCAGGTGGTGGATATAGTTGGATAACTGATTCCGGTTAACCATTGATAAAGATGTACATTAACTACTTTTACTACAACTAATAATTCTACTAATTCTGCCTTTTTGCTATCAGCTGCTAAATCTGGAATTCATTGAATGAGAACATGCATATGGGCGTTTGTTAGTGATTGATATGACTAACAGGTTTAAAACATTTCAAATAAATGATTATCTTACCGTTTAAGGTTAGATGAAGTCTCT